AGAAGATCTTCAGTTGGAGCCCAAAGTGCTCCGCCCAATCAGAGTGGAGGCGGGAACAGCTATGATGGAATGGATGTTATTGAATCTTCCTCCCTTGTCCAAAATGACGCACTGAATCAGCACCACACCCACCCAAGAAACACGCCCATTCCCTACTTACAAAACCAAGTCCATGGTGAGGGATCGGAGATAACTTCAGCAGCCCCTAACCTTACCCGACCCAAACTGGCCAACATCAGTGGGAACAGGAGCTCGTACCTTCGTCTCCAAGGTGAAGACAGTAGCCCCTGTCATGATCACAGAGATGTTGCCATGCAGTCCAAATCACTCAAGCATAAACTAAGTAAACTGATTCGACCGATGGATCTGGGGCACAAGTTCTCGTTGCTGATGTTTGGTGGGAAGCACAAGAAACATCAGAACTCCAGAAACTTAGGAAAGTCAGATGTTGAGGCCGTGCCAGGCTACACTAACAGGTTATCTGGCCAGTACATCAACAGTGGCTTAGATGCAAGTCCAGTTGGGCGTGCCCACCAGAATGGCCCACCAAACACACCCAGCTGCCTCAATACGGAAGTTGAGATGATCAATGGGACGGCCGTGACGCGTGCATGCAGCTATACATCGCCCGGTTTAGCGACCCATCCCCAGGGACTTTCTACAGTTCAGACCAGACTATCAGCCACCAACGTCATGCGAATGAGTGTTCTCGGTAACTCTGGTAATGAAGAGCTTCCCTCCCCATCCCTCTTCCCTAGAAGTGGAAGCAGCTCTGGGGTCAGTGATCCTAATCTTTTGGCAGGTGGTCCCCAGGAGGAGCAGGTTGTTCCCCTCCAGAACCTCTCTGCCAGCTGCTCAGCCAAAGGCTATGGGTCCATACATCAGGCACCACTCAACCAACCCAACAGCCTCGGGCATCATTTAGAAACCTCCAACCCTGAGCTAACAGGATCTCTTCAGATAACAAATCTCAATGAAATTAGGCAGGGCAGTGACACAAAGTCTCAAACCAACATGCCGATGGGGTCCACTTCCAGTGAACTTGACCAGGCATCATCCCAGCCTTCATCTTGTTCTGCTCTTGATAGAGGCCCTGGCCCAGACAGCTCCCTTTCCAAAGTGGCTCTGGCCCCTCTGCATGATGTGGTCATGAGTTGTGGTGTGCAGACACCTCAGAATAGAAGCATTGCACCACTCAACGGCTACTGTACAAACAGTGGGAAGAAAACCATCTCTGATCAGCTTGTGTGCACTGCATCTGGTCTCAACACCTTCGTTCCGGTCAACCACTTTACAGACACTAAGGGGGGTAACTCTATCATGTTGAACATTCATGTGGGTGAGAAAAGTCTTTCCAAGGAAGCTCCAGGGACGCGCGGTTCATTGAACAAATCTGGCCAGGCTACAAAACCATCTTCGACAAGATCAGTCTCACGGAGAAGTGGAAGCAGGGGTCATGGCAATGACCAATCGGAGATGTCTCAAGGGGGAAAACTCCCAGAATCCACCAAGCTTTCTCAGTCTCAGAGTGTCACAGATCTTGGATGGTATAAAATGCTTGCCCAGAATGAGGCCAGTCAAAATGGATTCTGTGACAAGTTGTGGCGGGATGCAGACTCTAGTAAAAGTTTCAGTCTCAATAAACACCGGCCAAAGTCACTGTCTCTGAAAGGGCATAATTATGGCTCAAGTACAATTGAACCAATGTCTTTCTCTGCTCATGTTCCCCATCAGAAGGTCAAGGACCTAAACTCATCAAATAAATCCTCCAACCAAAGGGTTAAACAGGATGAGAATGGTACACTGCCAATTGTTGTACCCAACATAACTTTAGATAAGAGTTCCCCACTTTTCCACTCGGCGAGTATCGTAGACAAACAACAAGGAAACAACTCTGCTGCACCCAGCGTAGCAGTCACTTCATTTTGGAGCAGCACAAACAGTTCCATCAACAACAGTAGCAGCAACCCATCTGTCATGAGAAACGGGGACTCTAACAGCATGCATGTCAATGGTGATGCTCACAGTGACAGCAAGATCAGCCTCACCACATCCACGTCTGCCAGCAACACCAGCAGTGACAACAACCTAGCAGGCACCTGTAACGATGCAGGTAAAGGCACACTCGCCATGAAAGACAGGTCGGACTCGAGCGAGAAGATCAGGCGGAGGATTAAAACGCCAGTCTCCTTCAAGAAAGGTCGACTTTCCCTCTACGATGACCGTCTCATGACGCAGAGTCTGGGCATGGAATCTCTGACGTCCATGTGCGGCTGCAAAGAGGGCAGTGGTGGTGGCGACAAGGCCCACTTTGGGCTGGTGGATTCAAACAGCCAGGACCTGACATTGCTAGATGGTCACCACAAAATGATTCAAAGTGATTCTAATCTTATTCTGTGAGAGCTTTCATGACACTATCAATCTCAAGGTGTTGGCATTCTGCCCCATTTATCATGTTTCTTCCCAATAGTAAAGGGAGACCATCAAAGGGCACTTCCTGCTGTGATAATGTGCCAATGTGTACATTCAAGTTTCATTATTGTATTATCTTGATGTTTGTTTTGTTTGTTTTTTTTAAAGTTGTGTTCTTGATTTCAACTAGTCATCTTATGCTCTGATTCTAATAAATGGAGGGAAACTTTATCAATCATCCAATTAGTGAATGAATTCCAACCTTTGTTGCCACTCTCCTTGCAACTCAAGAACTATCGTCTATCTCGTCACACCCAGCCTATTTTATGATATTATGTTGTTTCTATTCCATTCATTGTCCCTGAATAAATCAATGATTATTTCTAGAAAGTACAGTTATGATATGCCAGAATTTCTATCAACTATCAAAAGATGCTTTGTCCCAAAATTTCCTTTGTCCCAAAATTTCCTTTGTCCCAAAATTTCCTTTGTCCCAAAATTTCCTTTGTCCCAAAATTTCCTTTGCCTTGTGTTCACTGTGAGTCATGGCCATGGTTTTACGACAGTGATGAATTAAATGATCCTGTGGGGTGTCTGACATATCCTTCTGTAATATTTTGTCCAAAATGCATGTTAATAATATCCAGAAGACTTATGTACATAATTAATTCAAGGAAGTATAGCTACTCAATCGTTTACCTGAACCCCCCCCCCCCCACATTTTTTGCAAAATTTTCTCCTACAATCCTTAAGATTTTACACGCCTAAATCTCATATTTTCATTCACTGATATCAGCCAAAGTTTCATGGTCTGGCTTTTTGACTGCAGCCTGAGGTATCATGACCGTTTTCTATGATAACATTTCCACTGTGATTTAAATTGGTATTGAATGATTATTTGTTCATTTAAATCCATGACAGCTTGCAGTATCTGCCTTGTGTCACATGTAGCAGTAATGAATCTGCCTTGTATCTCATGTAGCAGTAATGAATCTGCCTTGTGTCACATGTAGCAGTAGTGAATCTGCCTTGTATCTCATGTAGCAGTAATGATTGCTTTCAAACCACACAGCTCTGTAGATTGTTTAACAACAAAGTCATAGAAGTATGAGGGAGCTAAAGACATGTCTGGACTCTTATTTTTTTGTCATTAAGAGTTAAAACTACATCCAGGTTGTATTATATAAACATTTATATTGACTGATCAAGCTTTTCATATCTCAATGACTTGTCCTTGGCCCCAACCTAATTAAGCGTCCATTTTGCCAAACAAAATTGAGAAGGTTCTCACATCTAGGAGTTTTTGTCCTAATTTCACATTTCAATGAATTGCTTTAAAAATATTATGTTGTTGCGTTGTTTTCATGTATAATGAAGTTTGGTTTTTTTTGTTAAATTTTTTGTTTACTAAACATTATTTTAAAGAACTTTTAAAAATTTTCATAAAATAAAGAGTTATGAAATGTTGGTATCAGTAAACACGTTGAAGAATGCAAACAATACATTATAATTATTGTAGCACTATCGGAGTTGACAGATATGTGGATAAACTTATTAATGGGCAAACTTATAGCCGTTTTGGAAATCATGGTATGAGCCCTTTGATTCTGGTTGGTACCAATGTTCCCTTTAAGCTGCGCTGCTATCTCACAGATGCTGCTCAGCAGTTTTGAGTACTGCGCAGCAAATTTTTATGTGTATGTTTGTGTTTGTGGGCTGTAAAATTTTGCACACGAAAAAAATTGATGCTGTAAAACTTTGCACACAACTGTATGATTTTTGCACACGAACCAGCAAACCTTAGAGGGAACATTGGTTGGTACTGAAACTGGGTGGTTTCTTTAACTTAAGAATGATTCATTTCTGTTATCTTTTGCTGACTTATTGTTCTCTTTGTTACTTGATGGCGACACATTTCACTGTTGTCTTAGAAGAACTAACAGTTTTTAATATGAATATTGTGCACACAATAGATTTATATATCTAAATATTGTTTAATTGACTTAACTCAAGATGCGCTTCTTGTTTTGAAGGTCTTTGTGTTCAATGTTTGACACAGAAGAAAATCGAAATTATCAATTTTCATAAACATTTTGTCCAGCAAATTAATGTCACATCAGAGGTCTTTCTTTGTTTGTCCAAGGATAATATAAAAAATATTCCATGTTTAAATTGATTAATGCATTTTCACTTTTCATTTAATTATTTGAAGTACCATTGTGTCAGCCAAGGGAGGTAACAATATGTCTTTAGGGGCATTGCTTGTGGCAAATGTTACAGTGTTTAGGATGAGTTTAGGGGGGGGGGGGGTGTTGTTAAGGGGATACTTTCTTGGCACATAACACATTTGTTTTGTTGTTTTAAACTAGCTGGATTTAGTGACACACTTTGTTTTTGTTACGTGCTTGCTGTCAAATGTTACAGTGTTTAGGATGAGTTTAGGGGGGGGGGGGGGGTTGTTAAGAGGATACTTTCTTGGCACATAACACATTTGTTTTGTTGTTTTAAACTAGCTGGATCTAGTGACACACTTTGTTCTTGTTACGTGCTTGCTGGAGCTAGTGACACACTTTGTTCTTGTTGTTACCTGCTAGCTGGAGCTAGTGTGTTCTTGTTGTTACATGCTTTCTGGAGCTAGTGACACACTTTGTTTTTGTTGTTACACGCTTGCTGGAGCTAATGACACACTTGGTTCTTGTTGTTACATGCTTGCTGGAGCTAGTGACACACTTTGTTCTTGTTGTTACATGCTTGCTGGAGCTAGTGACACACTTTATTCTTGTTACCTGCTTGCTGGATCTAGTGACACACTTTGTTCTTGTTTTGACATGCTTGCTGGAGCTAGTGACACACTCTGTTCTTGTTGTTACATGCTTTCTGGAGCTAGTGACACACTTGGTTCTTGTTGTTATATGCTTCCTGGAGCTAGTGACACACTTTGTTATTGTTGTTACATGCTTGCTGGAGCTAGTGACACCCTTTGTTATTTTTGTTACATGCTTGTTGGAGCTAGTGACACACTTGTTTCTCGTTGTTACATGCTTGCTGGAGCAAATGAAATATTTTGGGAGTTTTTAATTTATTTTTTAATTTATTGTCTGTGTGACATGAAATACTGTTTGATAAGGGAAAATACTGAGTTCGGAGCCACAATGAAGAGTCAGGGGGTCATTTTTGTGAAAAGTACTAAGTTAAACTGAACAAATTATAAATTATTTTTTCTGTAAATTTGTATTCCCCCATTTAAAAGGAGGCATAAAAACATTGTCAGATTTAGATATGCAGTGTCAGTAGCTAAAGCAGAAGTACTTCCAGATTAGATAGAAGAGCATTTTTTTTTTTCATGTTGGCACATTCCAAGACATTACCCTGGGGCACCTTAACCTTATGCGTCAATTGAACAGTGTGAGTGGGCATTGTAATCATTTCAGTAGACAAGTTGGCATAGAAATTCTGTGAGTAGGTATAGTTAAATGGCCAGGATGCCAGGGTAGGGGGAAGGTGGGATTGAAGTTTTTTGAGGAGGTATGAGTTAAATGACCATTACATGGATAGGGAGAAGGTGGGATAGAAGTTCTGTGAGGAGGTATGAGTTAAATGACCATTACATGGATAGGGAGAAGGTGGGATAGAAGTTATGTGAGGAGGTATGAGTTAAATGACCATTACATGGATAGGGAGAAGGTGGGATAGAAGTTCTGTGAGGAGGTTTGAGTTAAATGACCATTACATGGATAGGGAGAAGGTGGGATAGATGTTCTGTGAGGAGGTATGAGTTAAATGACCATTACATGGATAGGGAGAAGGTGGGATAGAAGTTCTGTGAGGAGGTATGAGTTAAATGACCATTACATGGATAGGGAGAAGGTGGGATAGAAGTTCTGTGAGGAGGTATGAGTTAAATGACCATTACATGGATAGGGAGAAGGTGGGATAGAAGTTATGTGAGGAGGTATGAGTTAAATGACCATTACATGGATAGGGAGAAGGTGGGATAGAAGTTCTGTGAGGAGGTATGAGCTAAATGACCATTACATGGATAGGGAGAAGGTGGGATAGAAGTTCTGTGAGGAGGTATGAGTTAAATGACCATTACATGGTTAGGAAGAAGGTGGGATATAGAAGTTCTGTGAGGAGGTATGAGTTAAATGACCATTACATGGATAGGAAGAAGGTGGGGTAGAAGTTCTGTGAGGAGGTATGAGTTAAATGACCATTACATGGATAGGGAGAAGGTGGGGTAGAAGTTCTGTGAGGAGGTATGAGTTAAATGACCATTACATGGATAGGAGAACGTGGGATAGAAGTTCTGTGAGGAGGTATGAGCTAAATGACCATTACATGGATAGGGAGAAGGTGGGATAGAAGTTCTGTGAGGAGGTATGAGTTAAATGACCATTACAAGGATAGGGAGAAATGTTATATGAGGTAATTTGGATGGAGTTGGGAGGGAAAGAGAAGTTCTGTACTTGAGTCTAGTCTATTACTGCTTTTGTTACATTAAATGACCATTACACGGATAGGGAGAAGGTGGCGTAGAAGTTCTGTGAGGAGGTATGAGTTAAATGACCATTACATTGATAGGGAGAAGGTGGGGTAGAAGTTCTGTGAGGAGGTATGAGTTAAATGACCATTACATGGATAGGAGAAGGTGGGATAGAAGTTCTGTGAGGAGGTATGAGCTAAATGACCATTACATGGATAGGGAGAAGGTGGGATAGAAGTTCTGTGAGGAGGTATGAGTTAAATGACCATTACAAGGATAGGGAGAAATGTTATATGAGGTAATTTGGATGGAGTTGGGAGGGAAAGAGAAGTTCTGTACTTGAGTCTAGTCTATTACTGCTTTTGTTACATTAAAACCTTGTGATAAGTGAAATATTTCACCAATTTACTTTTACTTACTGATGACTTTTTCAAGGCTACATGTTTCATCCCATTTCACAGTAATTGCTTCCAATGCTTTGTCCATACACATCATATTTCATCCCTTTCAGCATTGCTTAATCACCTCGTCTATATGTAACATAATTTCATCACCTGTACAGAGTGTATGTTAATGTTAAACTAAAAATACTTTGGAAATACATGCATGCTATAATCTAAAATATTTCATTGTGTTATTTATATTTATTTTTATTAAGGGAAAAATTTTAGGTCAGTAATAAAAATGTTTGCATATTGATTCTTTGTAAAAGTCCAATCTGGTGTTTTTGACACATATACTATACCAAGCACGATCGTCAAACTATTATTGTTTCCCTGCCATATGGACCTAGGTCGAGCTCACTGACATTTTTGTTATATTTATATATGTTTTGTGCCAATAAATATTTGCTTGGATACTTTTAGGGCTCAAGGTTCTGTTTCCCTATATATGAATTAGTTTAGACAGTCTATGTAAATTTAGTAGAATATGTCTGATGTCAGTCTGGGTCGGTATTTGTCTGATGTCAGTCTTGCCCGGCATATGTGTGATGTCAGTTTGGGCCGGTACATGTCTGATGTCAGTCTCGGCTGCTATATGTCTGTAAGTCTGCCTGTATATATTCAGTCAGTACATCTGCATGTATTGTGTGTTGTAGTAACTCTAATAAATTTCGTTTGTAAATAAAAGCAAAAATCAAAGGCTGTAAGAGGTGGGATAAGCACACCTAGACACATGCCCAGAGGACTGAATGGTGACTTAAGAAAGAAGTTGGATAAGCAAACCTGGACACATGCCAAGAGGACTGGATGGTGACTTAAGTAAGAGGTGGGATAGGTACACTTAGACACATGCCCAGAGGACTGAATGGTGACTTAAGAAAGAAGTTGGATAAGCAAACCTGGACACATGCCAAGAGGACTGGATGGTGACTTAAGTAAGAGGTGGGATAGGTACACCTAGACACATGCCCAGAGGACTGAATGGTGACTTAAGAAAGAAGTTGGATAAGCAAACCTGGACACATGCCAAGAGGACTGGATGGTGACTTAAGTAAGAGGTGGGATAGGTACACCTAGACACATGCCCAGAGGACTGAATGGTGACTTAAGAAAGAAGTTGGATAAGCAAACCTGGACACATGCCAAGAGGACTGGATGGTGACTTAAGTAAGAGGTGGGATAGGTACACCTAGACACATTCTCAGAGGACTGAATGGTGACTTAAGAAAGGGTTGGGATAAGCATATCTTGATACATGCCCAGTGGACTGGATGGTGACCTAGGTCAAACAATTTAATTTCTACCTGGATAAGACCTAGCTTATTCAATCCATTTCTGTCTGTGTATGAGTCTAGAGGTCTAAAAGTGTTTGTCTCTGCCTGACTGTGTCTGACTATCTGTGTCTTTGTTTGACTTACTGTTTCTGTGTTTGACTTACTGTTTCTGTGTTTGACTTACTGTTTCTGTGTGTATCCTACTGGTACTGTGTTTGACTTACTGTTTCTGTGTGTACCTAACTTAACTGATAATGTGTTTGACTTACTGATTCTGTGTGCATCTGACTGGTACTGTGTGTATCTTACTGGTACTGTATATGACTTACTGGTAATGTGTATGACTTAGTGTTTCTGAGTGTATCTGACTCTGTCTGCTGTATATGCCAGACACTTTGTATGTTTGTTTCACATGGTTCTGTTTCACATGGTTCTGTTTCACATGGTTCTGTTTCACATTTCATAGTGCTGATAATTTGTTTCAAAGAAGTGAGGTGATTGTCTTAACTTAACCAAACATGACAAAGGATTGAAAGAAGTGAGGTGATTGTCTTAACCAAACATGACAAAGGATTGAAAGACGTGAGGTGATTGTCTTAACTTAACGAAACATGACAAAGGATTGAAAGAAGTGAGGTGATTGTCTTAACTTAACCAAACATGAAAAAGGATTGAAAGAAGTGAGGTGATTGTCTTAACTTAACCAAACATGACAAAGGATTGAAAGAAGTGAGGTGACTGTCTTAACTTAACCAAACATGACAAAGGATTGAAAGAAATGAGGTGATTATCTTAACCAAACATGACAAAGGATTGAAAGAAGTGAGGTGATTGTCTTAACTTAACCAAACATGACAAAGGATTGAAAGAAGTGAGGCGATTGTCTTAACTTAACCAAACATGACAAAGGATTGAAAGTAATGAGGTGATTATCTTAACCAAACATGACAAAGGATTGAAAGAAGTGAGGTGATTGTCTTAACTTAACCAAACATGACAAAGGATTGAAAGAAGTGAGGTGATTGTCTTAACCAAACATGACAAAGGATTGAAAGAAGTGAGGTGATTGTCTTAACTTAACCAAACATGACAAAGGATTGAAAGAAGTGAGGTGATTGTCTTAACTTAACAAAAAATGACAAAGGATTGAAAGAAGTGAGGTGATTGTCTTAACTTAACCAAACATGACAAAGGATTGAAAGAAGTGAGGTGATTGTCTTAACCAAACATGACAAAGGATTGAAAGAAGTGAGGTGACTGTCTTAACCAAACATGACAAAGGATTGAAAGAAGTGAGGTGATTGTCTTAACCAAACATGACAAAGGATTGAAAGAAGTGAGGTGATTGTCTTAACTTAACCCAACATGACAAAGAAGGTCTTTTTCGATTTTGTGTTATGTCTATCTCATCAATCTACTTGGTATGTTATTTCTATTGTTAACTTTGACTTAACTGTTAGTTTCATAATTTGCTCTCTTGATGCTTATGCAGTGACATGCTCTTATTGTGAATCCACTAGCGTAGCCTGTTTTGCCAGGACTGAGGTCACGGCAGTTTGAAACTGTGGACCATTGACCCGTTCCCCTGCAATCCAATTTTGAACTTCTAACCCCCCCCCTCATTTCCCCCCCCCCCACTCACATTCACGTGTATTTGAGAAAAGACTCTTGCGTTTAAATGTTTAAAAGTTGACACGTTTGAAAACTTTATTTTAAATACGGTTAATTTATTTAATTTCTCGAGTTAACATTTGGCCAGGGCGGACTATTTTTAAAAGTGGCCAAACACACCGTTGGCACCCCTGAAATAGTCATATCTGGGCCACCACATCGTTGACAGCCCCGAAAGTCCGCCCTGTGCCACCCATACTGTTGAAACCCCTGCATTAGTTTGCCCTGGGCCACCCACACCTTTGGCACCCTTGAAATAGTCCGCCCTGGGCCACCTACACCGTTGGCATTGCAGAAATATTCTCCCCCCCCCCCGCGGGCCACCCACACCGTTGGCATCCCCATGCTACGCTGCTGTGTACCATGGATAGCGAGATATTGAGTCGTGTTCGGCTTATCATTCTGTGTTGTTGCTTTTGTTCAACTTCATTACCAATTTAGTAACGATTTATTGTAACGCAAACTGTAAGAGTACAGCGTCTGATATTCTTGTGTTAATCAACTGAAATCAGTTGTTAATTTAAAAGCATGACATGTTTTTTTTTACTGTGGAGGCTAAGTTTCAACTTCTTTTTTTCAATAAAAATTATGTATGTAGCCATGTAATGTTTGAAATGTAATTTTTACCGAACAATTGCAACGACAGATAAAAAGTATCCAGTACTATTATAACTTTGGTGTATTCTGACACATGTGTCAAGAAACACGATTTTAAAAAACAAAACACACACCTTAAACAACAGCAACGCATTTGTTCATGGTTTAAGTTCATTAAAATAATGATGATTTGGTGGCAGTTAGGTCAGTTGATGGAAGTATCACAATAGTTGGTTAGGGCCTCTCAGCAAATGTATTGAGAAGGATAAAACGAGAATAAGTGTCAGTAAGAGGGACCAACAATAACTTCAAAATAATTGTTTTCACTGTGAAGGTTTGACATTTCTCGATAAGGGCCGTCCATATATTACATACACAATTAAATTGTCTAATACGTACGTTTATTGACTAACACCCCCCCCCCACTCGAAAAAAAAAGGCTCAAATTACACTTGCTCAGAGTCAGAGACGGAACTTTTGTATTATGGAGGTCCCCTGCCACGTTTCTTAGGTTTGACATTTCTCGATAAGGGCCGTCCATATATTACATACACAATTAAATTGTCTAATACGTACGTTTATTGACTAACCCCCCCCCCCCACTCGAAAAAAAAAGGCTCAAATTACACTTGCTCAGAGTCAGAGACGGAACTTTTGTATTATGGAGGTCCCCTGCCACGTTTCTCTTGTATGTGCCCCCCATGTTTTCTTTCTGATAATGCTGCAGCTATTCGGGCCCTCGTCCCTTTAGTCTAAATGGCTATTTGGGTGTCATTTTTGGTAGTTTATTTTAGTTAAACTGAAGAAGCAAGTTGACAAACATATAGTCCAATATAGTCCATTCAATTATCTTTCATTTGATACCTCATTTTGTCTTACAAACCCAACAATAATATTTTAAATAGGTTTTTTTAATCCCAACCTCTCACTTCTGGTACCTGGGTGCGAACTGTCGCAGCCATTTATAAATCGAATACTGGAAGTGGAAGTCTTGAACAAGATTAGCCTTATATATAGCCTACGGATCATCAAATATATCGAACGTACGTAGTATTATTTCATAGATTCCACGAATTTTAATTGGTTAAAGGCACCAGCAGGGCTGGATTAACCATTAGGCAAACAAGGCACGTGCCTAGGGCACCAATCATTTGGGGGGGGGGGGGGCGCGCGGCACCACAAGTCCTCAAGAAAAATGTGTATATTGTCCCGGTAGCGTAATTGCATGGCATAAGCAAATCGCAAATGTAATATTGAATCGCACATTATTTAACCTTGGTCCCACAACCCGTGGGTAAAAAACCTCTGACTTTCTTATCTATCAAAAAAGTTACAGTATTTTTGTCTACTATTATTACAATATTAATTAACTATTAATTTTAATACAGAAATACTTCACTGTAGGTTTTATATGAGTGATTGTAGTACAAACATATGTGTTTATATTTCACAACTGTTTTTCTTTGTTAGTTTTTTTGCATAATATTGAACATACCAGCAGTCAGTGGATGATCGGGGGCCCGGGGCAGTAGGGGGCACCCATGTGGGTTAGAGCCTATGGCACCAAGATGGCTTAATCCGGGCCTGGGCACCAAATACTATTCTTTTGAAATCTGTTTAAAAACGACAATTTAGTCTTTTAAATATATATATATATATATATATATATAATCGTTATATTGTAGTAGGCTACACATTTTGCTGCGGAGGGGGGGCACTTGAGTTTCCCCAGGGGCCAGTGCCCCCCCCCCCCCGAGATGGTTGAAAGAAACCCTGTTTGGGACCCTCTCGGAATTTTCTATCTTAATATAAAAGTAACAAGAGTTGTGGGTCAAGCTTTTTGTCACCCCTCACTATAAAGAAAAATACGTGATGCCCCGGTGCGGAGTGACCTCTTAGCAACCGCCTACCCACGCCACTGCACATCAGTTATCGGTACTTTGAATTTAAATGAAACTGTTGTTAAATATGATGGCCATATCGAGGAAGAAAGTGGCGCCTGGTGAGAAACCTGTCAATTGAGCGAAAGAGGATAAGGGGATTATGGGAACGGGCTTTTTGGAGAATACCTGAATTTAGTTTTTCATCATAAACTTATTACTGCGAAATATTGAAGTCTTCTTGTTTCACATTGTTTTTGTCGTTTTGTCGCTGACCCAATTAGCAGTCATTTTACTTTTTAATATATTTATCCCAGCTGTCATCTAAAGACTACAGTCTCTCAAAACCTTACCTTTGATGATTCCCGTCTGAGGAAAAAATTACGACTTATTTTGTTTCTAATGCTGATGCACGGGCCATTCAACTAATGCCAATGCACGTGCCCTTCAACTAATGCCAGAGACCTAAGATATTTAATGCTCCCAGGGTTGCATTGCCATATTTAAACTATATATATATATATATATAATTGAATGCAGAGGGCATCAAACAGAAAAGAGGGTATAAAAGCCACTTGATATATGTCAACTATATCAACTTACAGCCAGTGTTTCTTTCAGAAAATTTCCCCCGGGAGGGGGGGGGGCGTGCGTTTCAGATTTTCGGGGGGGGGGAGACAGTGCCAGTTGGTTTATTGTTGGACATATTTTTGCACCGGAAGGGGGGGCACCTGGCTTTCTCGGGGGGGGGGGGCACTGCCCCTCCCCCCCGGAGATAGAGCTGAATGAAACCCTGCTTACAGCACAGCAAGTGAAAAAGTACTATCCTGGAAAGATAAAAAATATTAAAATACACACATACATAAAAACTACAGTCTTGTATGTATCTTCCGTTTCTTAAATATCTAATAAAAATAGCAAAAATCACTCTCATATTATAAAAGCTGACTGCTATATATAGGGAGTAAGTTAAAACCCTCCAGTAATTTTTTTCTATAAAATTGCGTCATCTGATAGCATTCATTATAACATATAGAACTTATTCAAACGTGAACAACCTTTCCCAAATCAAGGGATGGGAGGGGTTGGTACAGCGCTATACATTTAATCAGTGACGTCAAATTCAAAACTTAAAAAAAAGGGGTAGACGAGTTGTCGAAGCTGTACGATGCAGTAAAATATAACAAACGTAACACGATTAAAAAAACAACACCTCATCGCACCTATCATCACATGACGACAATCGATAAAAAGCCGCCATTTTTGACGATAAATTGCATCCCAGGAAAAAAAAATTCGGCGTGTGCTACTTCCCTCCCTTCGTTCTCTTCTCTCCTTGTATAAATTATTATTTTTTTTATAATCATTCAAGCTTATTTTAAGATCACGTACTTCATTTGCCTTTAGGTTAATCTGGCACTGCATTCTATCTATTCATCCACACCACATGTATTAGTCTATTTATCGATCTATCCATCCGTCTGTCTGTCTGTCTCTCTCTCTCTCTCTCACCCGCCAAATCACTCACTCGCTCGCTCACTTACTCACTGAATGTGCATTAGGAAATGACGTCAGCGAGCCATCACGCTAGTGCATTAGGGGGCGTCCATTAATCATTTCAACAAAATAGGGGGGGGGGGGAATGTTTTGAAGTTGTTGAAAAGGGGGAGGGGGGGGTCAATCTTATCTCACTGACTTCTCATCATCAGACCAATCTTATCTCCCAGACTTATCATCAGACCACTCTTATTTTACTGACTTCTCATAGTTAGATTAGTTGACGTCAACAATTGTGTTTTCTCTATTAAAATTTTAATCTTAAAAATTGACTGGTTATTATATTATTTTTTTTTAAATGTATAAGTGTAAATGAGTGTAAATAGTCATATAATTTTTAGGCTTTTAACAATATAAGATTTATTTAATGTGTGTCTGTCTGTGCGCTGCAGGTGGCTGGTCAGAATGTTAGCACACTTTATTAGTGAAAAGAGAAGTCAAAAGTTAAGTGATATCAATAGAGTAGGAATACAATATTTTGAGAATTGGGGGAATGTAAAGTGAGTAACAATAATAAATCGCTGCTTGAACGGATTTGCAAAATCTGTAACATCTATTTTGCATCACAAGTCATGTTAAAAAATCATGTTCAACAGCACCGACATAAGAAATTAACATCTGCTCCTCAACAAAAAAGGATTCGACCAATGCGAGTGGATGCAAGGAGATAGAGAGAGAGCTTATGGCAATGTTTGCTCATACCGACAATGCTTCTATTTTACGTGCTGAATGGTTATATGAGGATGATGTTGACTTGTCTGGTAGATCAGTGCCGCAAGATGAAAACGATAAATCAGCTACAATAGACTATGTCCATCAGGCGCGTCATTTCAGGTTTTTTTCAGAGGGGGGGGGGGGAGGCAAAACCAAAACTTGGTCAGCTTGCTAAGTTGTTTATTACTGAAGGCCCCACAGTACTTAGCAATTTAAATAAAACCTGCAAATTAGGGGGGGGGGTAATACCCCCNGCCCATTGTTATGATAGAGCAAACATGGCCACTCCTTGGAAAGATGATAGCAGCTAGAAACTACACGAGTCATATTTACTGACAATAATCATATTTATACCACAAAAAATAATAATTAGTCTTTGACAACCTTTCAATTGATTCAGCACTATAAAATGCAAGTGTAAAAACTTTTTAACTTGTTGATTAACAAGCTAAAGATGTAATAAAATGTTTTTCTACAATTTTGTGTCATTAAAATAGATCAGCATTAAGTAGTATGTATTTATAAATTTATTTATAATATAATTCCTTTTTTGTTTTTGTTTGGTGGGGGGGGGGGTATTAGGAAATTTTGACATAATAAAATAGTGGGGGTTATTGAAAGTTTGACAGTTGTTGACGGTGGTGGGATGCAAAAAGTGCTTAAAAATTGTTGACGTAATTTATAGACGACCCATTAGCGCTTTATGCAGTCCCCAACAAAGCAACTCCCCCAAAACGTTGGAGATACCCCTTTGCCAAGACAGTCCCCGCCCGCATCCAATCGATCGAGTACCAGCAGAGGCCACCCCAGCCCAAGTTCACTGCCTCTAAAATATGATTGTGTTACAGGTATATTGTGAAATCTGGGCATTTTATACCTTAAGATAAACAAATAACGCCAAATTACATGTAGGCCAAAATGATTGCATTTTAAAAATTTCAAATGATTATTTTTTATTTTTGTAAATGCTTGTAAATATATCTCGCCACTTCATTTGAAACGATTTAATAACGCGTTAAATAGAGTTAACGGAATCTGAAATGTAATTTTACGTCTTTAGAATTGTTCAACTTGGAATTATCTAGGTCCTTGCAATATGTCTATAATATGACCTATCAGTATATGACTTAGCTTGTCCGTTAAAGATATATGGATAAAAGGTAATGTTCATTGAAAGGATGAGAATGTCGTTTATGTCAAAATTGTAACATTACTGTGCCATTCAGTAAAAGTAATGATAAGAGTTGACTGAGTTGCTTGTTCGACAGTAGTCTCTCTAATTTTCTACTAATCACACCACAACAAAGGCAGTCGAAGTAACTATGACCACTATGGTAGATTATATTTACTCTTTAGACTTGTTGTAGGCTAGCGTTTTTACTTTTTACCCTAGCCTACAAAATATTATTTAAGTAGTTTAAGAATTATTCAGTTACAAGACAAAAGGCAAAAGTAAAAGGGCTAAGGGTAGTGGAAAACCTGAAGGACAATTCAATAATAGAAAGTGAATGTTGCTGCCAAAAAGCAAAAAGGATTAAACTGAGACTTACACAAAATATGATAAGTATGTGTTTCCACAAAAATCACAAATATAAATTATAAAGGTTTCTTTACTTTCGAATATTCTAATTCTATGTAGTAAACTATTCATTATTCATAGAGGCAGAGGTTTAAAGTTTTTTTCAATCTTTCTACTTTGCTGACCAGGATTTGTGAACCATATACAATTAAAATATTTCCCTTAAAATATATCACACAATTAGTATCTGGGGGGGGGGGGGGGGGGTGTCNAATAAGAGATGTGGGGGGGGGGGGTGTGGGTGTCATGAAATTGCAAAGATATATTTTGAGTGTGTCTAAATTTTATGAAATCAGAAACATAATTTGAAAAATAAAAATAGCTGAAAATATATAATACAAGCAGGGATTAATAGGTCATTTCCATCATTGGCTTAATATTATCCCTAATACCAGGACTGCTTTTATACTACCTGTGTTTTGATAACTTTTTTTCAATCATTCTTTCATGATTCAAATTTGTTATTTTATCCATGAAATTTATTTTTTCAAATTATGTTCCCAATTTCATAAAATTTAGACACCCGCACATTACATTTTTGCAAATTTGTGACCCCCAGCACCGAGATACCAATTGTGTGATATAATTTTAGTCTAGAAATATAGGATTTTTTGTTATTAATTATAATAAACATATTAAAATTGATTTCTTTTATAGATATTGACATATATTTGACAGCAGAGAAACATGGCAAGTGAAGAATTATTATCACAGATTGATAACACAGTGGAGTTGACAGAAAAACTTGTTCTTTTACGTACTCGGGCCCAGGATCTGGAAAGTGTAAAGAAACTCAACTGCTGGTATTTCATTTAAATAATTGACTTTGACTTCCTCGTAAAATTATGCAAATGAACGAAAAAGTATGTAGTTTTAAACTATCTGTGATTTAATGAATAAGGATCATAATTTGGGAATATATTGAAAACAGATGTGTCGTTGTTTCTCTGATACATTCATATTCTAAAATTTGAAGACCAGATTTATTTTAAATTTGAATCATCCAAAAAGTATTTTTTTGTTGTGGATTAAAAAAAAATTTGTTTGGAATGTAACAATAATAACAACCCCCCCCCCCCCTCCCGACTCCCACAACAACAAACAAAATTTTGAATCTAATTTGAGCTTCATAGATATAGATAAAAAAAAATTTTTTTGAAACAAAAAAAAAAAAACACCCCCCCCCCCCCCCTCCCGACTCCCACAACAACAAACAAAATTTTGAATCTAATTTGAGCTTCATAGATATAGACTAATTTAATGCTCTACATTTCAGGGCCTCTAACATTAAAGATGTAAGTGTTGTGCGTCGCTTGCCAAATCTGGAGGTTTGCAGTTTAAGCATCAACAAGTTGACAACGTTGAGAGATTTTGCCCACTGCTATAATCTTCAGGTAATATCAGCAATAATGAGCAATATATATGTGCATTAAATTTTCTTTTTTTCCCACTTAAATGTAACTCACACGTTTAATTGGTCATGACAAAAATTGAAGAAAAAAAATTCACATTATTTATTATAATTTATTTATTAATTTATTATCTGGCAAATTAAAAGACAATATGTGTTGGAATTAATTAAATCTGTTAGGTTATATATATATATATATACATACACATCCGTGATTAGAAAAAGCATGACTAAAACATAATAATGACCATTTTGCTCAAGTTTTCTGAACAGAACCTTCTTGCTGTGCTAAAATTACTTAGGATTATAAAAAAAAGAATTATTTTAGTGCCACAAGAGGCTTGGGGCTGGCTTCCGTGGATAAGTTTCCAATCCGATGTTAATGCTAGTCACTGTGTTGAATTTAGGAGCAAGTAAATTTTATGGCTGACTCTCCTATTTTAATTTTTTTTAATGTTAAGATTACAATTTAAAGGTACAGTCACATTGGGGATTTGTTGCAGCCAATCAGTGATGAATCCATGTTGAGAATCCATGACACAGATATCCTATGCAGGTGTTCACACAGAGTAGACACAAATATGGCTTCTGTTGCAGAACTTTTGTTTATATTTTAATTTTATGTTATTTGCTAGCACAACAGTCAGCAACCTGTGGCTCTTTAAATGAACAATTTGTCTTTTTTCTTATTCTTATAAAATTGATTTAACCAAATACCGCCCACGCAGGGGGAAACACATAAAATAAATAATCTTTAATTAGCCCCTTTTTTAAAAACAAGACTTTGTTCCTCTAGTCATTTCTCATCTTGCCCACTCCAGTAAAATAAAACTTGAAATTGATTTCACAAATTTTAATATTCAAACAGCAAAAATATGCCCAATGACTGGATAGTGCCACTATCAAATACAATGCAATCATTAAAATTTGTAAACAAGCCCCAAGAGCTGATGACAATGCATGTGCAATGTTAAAAATTTGATTCAATGGTTTTTGTACTTTGCCAGCCGACAATATACTGCGCCTCTCAAACAAACCAGTGTAATGAAACTTGCTGGACCCGTTTTTTTTTTTTTTTTTTGTTACAGCAAATAGCACATGGTCCCAGAAAGTTGAGCATCCCTGTAAAAAATCCTCATTGTGACCACCTAACTTAACACCCCAAAAAAACACTCCACTATGGTTTTTGTACTTTGCCAGCCGACAATATACTGCGCCTCTCAAACAAACCAGTGTAATGAAACTTGCTGGACCCGTTTTTTTTTTTTTGTTACAGCAAATAGCACATGGTCCCAGAAAGTTGAGCATCCCTGTAACAAATCCTCATTGTGACCACCTAACTTAACACACCAAAAAAACTCTCCACCTTTATTCAATCATCTTGTTTCAAGGAACTTTATGTCCGCACCAACAACATCCAGTGCCTGGGGGACATCCATTATTTGAAGAACTTGCCCAAACTCCGCTCGCTGTGGCTGTCTGAGAACCCCTGTGCTACCAAAGACAACTACAGAATGACAGTTTTGAAAACCCTCCCCAGGCTGCAAAAGCTAGACAATGTTGGTGAGCTGGATTCTTCGTAGCCTATAGATATTTCTGCTGTTAGCTGCCTAAAGTGTACAATCATATCTAGAAATGTGTAATTCTTAGGTCTGCTGCCTAAAGTGTACAATCATATCTAGAAATGTGTAATTCTTAGATCTGCTGCCTAGAGTGTACAACCATATCTAGAAATGTGTAATTTTTAGGTCTGCTGTTAGCTGCCTGGAGTGTACAACCCTATCTAGAAATTTATAATTTTTAGGTCACTTGTTTTTTTCCTTTAGTTGAATCCTAATTGCAGGTTGCTTGATGATGCACTACTTTTCTGTCGATCTGCTGCAAATACATTGCAGCTGAACGTCTTGATCTTTTTGTAGAGTATAGTAGTTTGGACCACTAGTTCACAGATATTTAGTGCTTTCTTCGGGGATAGCACGCAAATACAAATATTTTGTACTGAAAAAAACCCACCAAAAAAACAGATGTATTCAAACAGACGTTGCCTCTTTTGGATAGCTGGGGGCAAGAGTAAAATCTAGAAATATTTTACACTTGTTCAGATAAAGAAATGTTTTACACTTGTGCAGGTCTAGAAAAGTTTTAATTTTGCACTGATTTAGAAGTGTTTTACACTTGTTCTGATATAATTACTAAGAAGTAATTAAATGGTTTTCATTTCTGCCTTACTGCTCCTCGAAATATTTCTCCTACTTCGTCAGTCATCAGATGTAAACTGGCATACTAAATCAATTATAACTATTTCAACTTAAAACATTTTTTGTTGTTGAAGAGAGCATGTATCCTGGTCACATCCAGGCTGTCTTTTGTCACCTGCCTATTCCTACTTAATAAAACACCAGTTTGGTCGCTTCAGGTAAATCATAATGTAGAATTAATAAGTTTGATTAATTTTATTGCCCCGCAGTTGTAACAGAAGATGAACTGACAAGGGCTAAGACGGAGGGAGATGATGTACCTATCCCTGAGGACTTTTCATATTCAAGCGTCTTTACTGATGCCACCAGCTCCAGCACTGAGGATGATAAGGAGGTCGACAAAAGCGGTCTGTCTGAGTCCAGCAACAAGTGGGCGTTGCCAAGGAGGAAACGCCACCAGAAAAAAAGAGAGGACCAAATCAAAGAGAGGCTGAGCCTAGATGATGGCAGCATCAAGAGTGGTGATGATGGCGACGTTAGTGCAACCAGTAAAGAAGATATCAAATCTGATGGTGATGTTAGCCCAAGAACCTTTAAAGAAGAGAACAAATCTGAAGGTGATGTTAGTGCAACCGGTAAAGAAGCTATCAAATCTGATGGTGATGTTAGTCCAAGGACATTCAAGGCCGACATCATATTCGATGGTGAAGTTAGTGCAAAGACCTTCCAGGAAGACATTAAATCTGATGTTGACATTAGTGCAAGAAGTGAGGACTGTAGTGCTATTAGTGAAGATGCTAACCTGAAAAATGAGAAAAAAGTTTTACAAGTAGAGAAAAATTTGACCATTAAGTCTGATGTTAAGTCAGAACATAGTAAAGAAGAAAATGAATTGGAAAATGGTCATAATAACAATGATATTCACGCAAATGAGATGGGAGATAAGAAAGATTTAAAATTTTGTAAGGAAGCCATAGTTGGCCCAGACAAGGATGCTTCCGAGGGGACATATGGAGAGGCAGCATTTGAACTGCCATTAAAAAGATGTTATGGCAAAACACATCTTGCCATTACTGTTCCAGAAGTACTTCAGACACTTCATTTGGAAGGAGGGGGTCTTGACCTTGACCTTACTCATGATGAAGCCAAACCCACGCCGGCAGCAGGTATTGAAACCATGAGCATTTACCCCGCCCCTGGTGGCGAAAACATCAATAATTCAGCCACAGAGTCTGGCACAGCTTTCAATGAAAACAGTCTGCGTGTAGTTTCCTTGTTGGACAGGATACAGCTAGATGATGTGGCAGATTCCACCGATGTTGTGCGTTCTGTGGATTTCAGTCAGGATGGCCGTGACGGATCTTCAGACCAAACTGTGTTAACACCAGAAATAAACCATCTTGACAATGCTACTGTTACAACTCTAACTCAGTCAGGATGTGGAGAAATGGAGTTGACGACACTGGCTGCCAAGGAGAAAACCGAGCCCATTGACTGGGAAGAGTACAAGTAAGCAAATATTCATTATTGTTGACCTACCCAGTTCTTTGTTCTCTATGGAATACCATTGTAAAACCTTCAGCCTAAAGGCAAAAAATAGTGTGTGGGGGGGGGGGGGCCTCTAAATTAATAACGTTGATCAAACCAAATTTTTGTATTTCAAGTCACTAAGGATTATGTTAAGGTTTTGATCATCATAGACATTCAGATACAGAGAACATTGTGGAATGTGCCATTTTGGCCTGCTGCCATGGTGAAGAATTTACACACTCTCCTCAGCTGTTTCATTCAGGTCTCATTGAACAAAGCTGTTGGATTTAACAATTTAAACTTTTGTCAAATATTAAATAGTCAAATTAATTTTAGAATGGAGGTAGTCCTAGTTCAACTACTTGGATTTAAACATAAATATTATCTCTAGACATGGCTTTTTTTTTTCCAACTTTCCCAGCCGCCTTAGAATTCAAGTTGGAGTCAAACCCATGAACAAAGTAACAAGTACAACGAAGTCCATTAATTCTGATATCTTGAGGACAAGGGTAGGTACACATTTGCACACTCTGTTTTAAAAAAGGAAATGTAAACAACCCCCCCTCCCCCCCATTTCTTTTCCCTAAACAAAACTGCTTGGAATAATCCCCTCTAGGTCCAGGCAGCAGTAAAATATTATAATAATATTTATTATAGCACTGAATATTTAATTTTTTTTCTTCAGCTGATCCCCATTTATTATTGCTATACCTGGAGAAATTCACACAAAAATTGGGGAGGGGATGGGTAACACATTGTTTTGTTTATTATGGGCTTTGAATTAATTTCTAACATTTATCTTTTGTGGGTGTGGTGGGGCCCAGGTGAGAGGAGAGTTTAAATAGTTAACAGTTATGCATCAAACACACTGTACACTTGACAGTCTCAAAATGATGAAGATAAACTCAATATTAATTATCAGTGTGTACCATATGAAAACAAGATAGTGTTGTGAGGAAATATGATGAGGAGTGAGTCTCAGCTGGTAAACAAAACAATGTTTGACTTATGACCAAGGGGCTGTAATAAAAATTTGGAATTAAATTGTTTTAATTTTTCTCCAGAATTCAAACATCTTAAATGCTGTCCTAAGTTTAGTGAAGGAATTGGATAAAGATAGTTTGGATATTGTATCAAGTGCTGTCAAGTCAAGATTGGACACCTTTAGCTGATTTGTATCATGGCCTTGAAGTGAAAAGTACTAAAGTTTAGTTTACGAAAGAGAAAGGTAGACAGCATGTTTTTCATTTCACACATTCTTTTAAACAATTTTTTTACATGTGAATGATGAAAAAAAATATTTTGGGAAAACAAAAAAACAACAACACACATTCAATTATAAAATTATCATTATTCTTCAACCACAAACAACACATAAACAACATTTTCAAAAATATGTTAACAATATTAAAGTTTGTACTGTGATAATTGACTTTTTAAAGAATATGACAAGCACCACACCCCCCCATTAGTTAGGGCCATGAAGATGTACATGCAGCACTGGGGAAACAAAGAACTGTTTTGTTTGATTTAAAATTTGTTTTGTTATTACCTCACATTCCAATGAAGGCCTCATGCAGTAATCTCTGTGTATTTCTATATAATGACCTGCGGGCATTGAAATGTTTATTCACACTGAACATACTAGTAGGACTGTGGTGCTACAATTCCTTACTGAAAACAATATTCCAATTTCTTTTTTACCTCATTAAAACTGAAGCTCATAAATTTTGTTTGTCTCCCACACTGTCAGAAACCGCCATACACAGAGAATTCCTGCTAGCATTTTTTGGATTGTAATCCAATTAATAGTATCTATATGTTGAATAGATTCTTCCGTCCAGTATTGTATAACAAATTTATTATTCTATTTGTACCTTTTACCCTGTTATCAATTTCTGTGTTCCGATTAATTGGATTGACATGATGCCTTAAGAGTATTCATGGAAATAATAGATTAAGCAAACCTTTCTGCACTTTTTTGGCCTAAAATGTTTTTATGTGTTCTGATCAGTGTCATCAGTAACTACGTATAGATGTAAGTTATACAAACTTAATTATGAATAATGCAGCAATCAAAATATCCTTCACGGCTATTGTCTTTACAAAATATTGGTTGCTTAATGGATTAAAATAAAAAAATGGGACAACTGAAATGCTTCAAAACAGAGCAATGTTAATTTAAAAACTAAGTATTAATGGCTATTATTTTTCTTTAATTTCATCAAATGCTTTTATATTTTAAAATGATAGGTTGTGTGAATCCATACAGGTTTGTTATATTGAAGCTGTCCCATATCTCCTCACAATCAAAAGAGGTTCAAACTTGTTTTTGGAATATTCTCATTGAAAATCATATTTGGTATATTATATGATGAAAACTGTTTCAGTATGAAAATTATTTTTTCCAAAAATTACTACATTATTTGTGTTCTTATAATTCTTTCAAAAACATTGTGTACACTTATTTATTTATACTAACATTCGATTATGTCATTTTATTATTATTTTTCTTACATTTTTAAAGACTTATCTCTATTACACAACTATTATTTTATTTTTGTATGGTTTTGAGTCGTAAGTTGAAATTTTTCAGGAATGAATCTTTAAAACTTATATAATTTATAGACTATGCCGTCCCCTAGTAAATATTTATGAATAACATTGTTTAGACAATATAAAAAAAATGTTTATGGTATCTTCAGCATCTTTCTGGTCATATTTATTTGTTTTTGTATCAATCGAGCCAAAGCCCAGGTCATGTATTATATATTTCATACATTTAACATACTAATTGCACAACCAAACAAAACCACTTGACCATCTCACCCAATGTATCACACAAACCTCGTTATAATCTCTAATACAAATCTTGCCTTATAATTGTATGAGTTAAATTTATCAAATAGACTGCATCAAGTCAGTATATTACATTTTCTAATACCACATCCGTCACACAACAGGTTTAAAAAATATTGACCAAAAAGGCCTTTTTAAAAATAAAAAAATTATTCTAGAATATTTTACTTTAAGAGATCAACTATTCCTATTTATTGAACGATCATACACTTTGTCTACACAATCTATTCCTATTTATTGAACGATCATACACTTTGTCTACACAATCTATTCCTATTTATTGAACGCTCATACACTTTGTCTACACAATCTATTCCTATTTATTGAACGATCATACACTTTGTCTACACAATCTATTCCTATTTATTGAACGATCATACACTTTGTCTACACAATACGAAGATTTGTTGCTTGGTTTAATATTAAATTTGTTTAGAATGACTATTATTACACTTGAAGCTGATACAGGGCCAGTAGATCAGTATGCAGAACTATCATTATTACAAAGAAAGAAGAAAGACATCTCATTAAAACTATACTTTATTAAATGTCAAGGCATTATACCACACAGGCCACAAGAAATAAATAATTCAAAATGGGATTCTTGTAACAAATGAATAAAGTAAACTCTTGATTTTATACCTAAGAACACATTTTTTTTTACACATAAGCACTTCTATAAAGACAAACCAGTAATTAAATGATAAAAATTTAGCGATAAAAATTTAGCATAACTTACACAAAGAGATTAAAAATCTCATTTTCTAGGTTGTTTATCCTTACAAATTGTTTTCTACAATATTCTTTGTCTTATGGAGAAAAACCAAAATTTCATTTAGATACATCAAGTCAAGACTAACTAAGCTATTAGGGTGGCGTTACAAAAGGTTTGTGACTCCACCACACAACATAAAAGCTTGCAATTTAGATCTTAGTTTATCATAATCCCTATCCTGCACTTAGCAGTAACATTTGCAAATCATTGACCATGCCCTCACGCTATTTTCCAATAAAGTTTATGAGAAACATATTTTTTCTTTGAAAAAAGAACTTAAAAAAAAAAAATCTTCACATCAAACTTTTCATAGGGAGCCTAAATAAAATATTAAACTGATTATAAAATTTACCTCGACTTGATTGAAGGCAATCGAAATTAAGGAGCTGAAAACTTAACACTGGTAACATGTAACCTATCGGGATAAATACTGTGCTCAGAATTTGAGAGACGACTGTATTTCAGGATAGAAGCGGAAAAAACCCTGTTGACAAAAAAATAAACATTCTTGTAAGAGTTCACTGTATTTTGTGAGCAAATTCAATAAAATTTTCATTATGCTTTTATGAGTGATCCACACAGTCCTGTAAATAGCCGATATGCAAAAAGAAAGAATTTTTTTTTTAATAGTCACTTTTAGTTAAATATTGAATCTGGGTACACTTTAGAGTCTTCTTAAATTAGTTCTTGCTGTGTTAGAAGTAGTAAGTTTTTTAAAATTTATCAACATTTTACTAGGAAACATTTTAGTGGCTTCCTCTATCCACGTTTCAATACTTAGGTCAATCACATAACTTGTGATCAATATTTCGAACAAAAAGAAGACATGCCAAAAATTTAGTAAAAAACTAAAATATGATTTTTTTTTTTAAACCTGTCCGGTAATGCATGCAATTACGGCACAAGCTTATCATAAGACACCTTAAAGACCAACATTCGTGGCATACCTCAAACAGCTTAACCGCATGTACAACATCAGTTGTGGCCCCTGTTTCTCTGATGGAATGCATGGCAAACTGTGGCGCCCCCACATCTATGGTCTGCATTCCAAGCTTAGCCGACATTATTGGACCAATCGTTGAGCCACAAGTAGAGTCATTCCGAACTACAAAATCCTGTAAGAGAAGTGAATACATTAAGGCTTTAATATTGTTCATGGTTAGGGTAATTTGGAGCAGGATTTCTGAGATTTTTTTCAAATAGGTTCTATGAACAAAACCTTACTTGAAAATAATTGCTTTACATAAAACATTTTATATAATACACTTTATATAATATATTTTTTGCCATACACTATATATTTTATATTTAAACACTTTATATGATTTATATAATACACTATATATATTTTATATAATACACTTTATATATTATATTTTATGCCATACACTATATATTTTATATTTAAACACTTTATATGATTTATATAATACACTATATATATTTTATATAATACACTTTATATATTATATTTTATGCCATACACTATATATATTTTATATAATACACTTTATATAATACACTTTATATAATATATTTTTTGCCATACACTATATATTTTATATTTAAACACTTTATATGATTTATATAATACACTTTATATATTTTATATAATACACTTTATATATTATATTTTATGCCATACACTATATATTTTATATTTAAACACTTTATATGATTTATATAATACACTTTATATATTTTTTATAATACACTTTATATAATATACCGGTATTTTATGCCATACACTATATATAGTAACGACTAAACAACTAAAGGATCATGTTTCTTTTTGCCAATATTACTTGTCAGTTGTTCCCAACACAATGTAACTGCTAAAACATTTTTTAACTACCACAATTCAAAATGCTATGCAGCCGAGTTGTGAAACAAACAAACGTGATATTCCTTACCTGTAGAGGCACACTAACTTTCTTGGCTATTTGTCTGAGGATGGTGGCAGTTATACCTGTAGTGGCGTACCTCTGGTTGGAGTTGAATTTTATCACAATACCCTGGATTTAAGAAATGGGAAATACAATGGATTTATTGATCATGGGATAAAATTCCTATTTGCATATCACTGGTACAGGCAGACCACAGAAATGTTCTGGGCCAGATCCATTGACACCCCCACCCACCCTAAACGTTACGTTACAACCTTGGCATTCTCTCCTTTTGGGGAATATATTAAAGAATAATATAAACTTAAACATACAATTTCAATGTCCCGTTTGGGGTCAGCTTGACCTCTTTACTCAGTTATGGGCTGCTGCCAGGTAATATAATTTTTTTTAAAATAAAAAAGAAATAGGCCAGGAAAGTAATAAATACATACCGGTAATATAAATTTACTTGAATTAATTTTAATTTAAATAAAGTTACGCTGAGAAATACATATATACTCTACATCAGAGAAACCCTCCAGTTACAGGTCAAACAAGAAAATGTTTTAAATTGTTAACATTGAGAAATCGACAACACTTATGAGGGCAGCAAGTATAATTTTTTATATTATTATCTCTAAAACAATCCATGGCAGGCATAATTATAAAGGCTGCATAGGTTGGGGGCCTTGGTTCTATATGATAGAATGTTGTGGTCATTACCTTTCCTTTGTTAAACTATGACCTTACCTTTCCTTTGTTAAACTATGACATTACCTTTCCTTTGTTAAACTATGAGATTACCATTCCTTTGTTAAACTATGAGATTACCCCTTACCTTGTGCAACTCTGGCTGATGGTTTGACTCGTGTTTCTCCCTGAGGAAAGTAAAGGTGTTGAAATGACGCCACTAAAGGTAATATGAATGTCAATACATTTAAACTTCAATGAAGGTAATATGACTGTCAATACATTCAAACTTCAGTGAAGGTAATATGACTGTCAATACATTCAAACTTCAATGAAGGTAATATGACTGCTTCACTGAAGGTAATTTGACTTACAATTCATTCAGACTTCCCTGGCGTGATGGGATTAAGATAATACACAGATTGAGTAAAAAGAAAAGTGAATGAAGTAATAATTATTAATGATCAGAACCCAAATCAGCCACCTAGTAAGGGGATGTCATCATTTTGCGACGCTGATTAAAATGCTGATAAATGTATCGGGTACATAATAATTTTATGACATTACGAGATATTAAAGGTAGGAGATAATAAATAACTTTTAAAAAATCTCAATAACCTATAATTATAATTTACCGTGTATAAAGTTGAAATTAAAAAAAGTTATGACTGCAGAAATCTATTCTTGAAGACTGTTGCATCCCTGCCTTCCTATCCTAAATTTTCAGGCTAAAGTCCAACTAAAAGTATATCAATAACACCAACAAATAAAGTTTAAAAAAAAAAAAATGAAATGCTCAAAGAGTAAAAGTTTCTAGTAACACCAAAGAGTGTTCAGTTTGGAGGATATCAAATCTCTTTCAGCTTAAGGAATTAAATGGCTGTGCTTATTTATCTACTGGATACATCTAAAATTTAATCCAGACTCATGCAAGGCACCAGCTGAAGCTAAATGAAAACTCTTACGCATAGTTGGGATGACAGCCGTGCGCCTGGTCAGCACTGACCATATAAGACTTGGCTATGGACTCTTCGAAGGCCACAATGTGGTCACGGTCAGCGCTAATGCGACGCATGATGATTTCCTGGAACATGGAGCCGGCACCCTGGGCGCTCTCAGAACCCACCTGATGAACAGAAAACATACGGTTGCACAGGTGTTAACAGAGCTCAGCATAATGAGTAACACAGTAACAAAGCACTGTGCTGAGAAACATTGTGATACCGGTAACATGGTGAGGTCTTATTGATGAAGATGGCTAATGGACAATGGTTTTAAAAAACGATGAGTGAAGACAGGTTAAGAGATATAATGAACAATTATTTGTCATAAATTATTAATTCAAGTTTAATCATCTATATTGTATGTGATCATTACAGTGGAACCCCGCTAAAATAGCCTAATTGTGGTCCATAATATTGAATCCCTTTTATAGTGGTTTTAACAATATTAATATTATGTGTTGTTATTTTTTAAAGTTGGAAGGTATCTCTTCTGGTTAGTGAGCTATAAGTTGTTGAAGAAGTATTAGTTTTGGTCCATTTATAATTGTGTGGTACAACTATATATATTTATTACTCATTTTTTTCACATACGATACCGGTACTTAAAAAAAAAATTATATATGAATGAATTATATTGAACCCCCCCCCCCCCCCACCCCAGTATCTCTCCAACAACATCTACCATATCATTCTTCATAGCAACACATCGTCAAATTCCACCATTTAATTCCTCATAGCAACACATCGTCAACTTCCACCATTTAATTCCTCATAGCAACACATCGTCAACTTCCACCATTTCATTCCTCATAGCAACACATCGTCAGCTTCCACTATTTAATTCCTTCGGCAACATATAACCCTTCACCCACCTCTTCGTTATCAAAAAGGCTGATCATGCGGACATTGGGATCGGTCTCCAGGCTTTCATCTTGTAAAGACAACAGCAAACCCTGCAACAAAATGCCATGCACTAAAATTTAACCTTCTGAATTAAAAAAAAACCAAAACATGTTAATAATAATAATACAAAATTTCTTTTTAAATTGTCTCCTCAACATTGGCCAAAAATTGTTCAAAATTATTGTAAAAAATTAAAGTTATAAAAAAAATTATTACCTGATACGCAGCGTAGGCGTTAAACAAATTGTCCAGTCGAGGGGAAAATAAGAATTCTTCATAGGCGCCTCCTAGTGTCTGAATAAGTTTAGCGGAAAGTTTCAGATCAATATATAAATTATCTACTCATATACATGACAAGGGAAAATAAAGAACTACAGTGCACATCAGAAAGAAAAAGAAATGTTTAAACATTCTTTGAAAAAGTTATTTAAAAAGTCTGCTCTACAGGATTGATTTCAACCAGTTAAAAACTGGCAGAGCATACAGTAACATGATAACTCTACAAGAGTATACAGTTACATGAGAGCTCTACTACCACAAGAGCCATCAATAACATGAGAACTCTATAAGAGCACACAGAAACATGAGAACTCTATAAGAGCATACAATAACATGAGAGCTCTATAAAAGCGTACAGTAAAATGAGAGCTCTATAAATAAAAGAGTAAAGCTTGTAAGTTATGCCAATCAGCTGAGAAAAGCTCTAACTGCCCTTTTTGAGGCATGATTTTTAGTTATGGGTCAGCCCCGTACACATTCTACTGGGCCTGTAGCAGCAAACTAGTTCTAGTTAGCAACCATTTGATAATGGTGTGCAGAAGTAGGATTTCTAATTCATTATGCTCAATACTCACGAACAACATTATATAATATAAGTATAAATTTAAGACTCAAAATTTTAGTAAAAAATTTTTTTTGATCTAGAGTTGGCAGTTGAATATAAGTTTTGCCTGCCAGTTCTGGCACCTGTACCTTGGGTTGCCGAACCCTGTTCTAGATGGATGATAAAACTACTAACCATGCCACAATTCTAATTTATCCAGACACACTTTATTGTTGATTTTACCATAAATTTGAACATTTTATGGTGACCTCTTCTAACCAAACTGATAAATCTCTAACCAAACTGATAAATCTCTGACTAAACTGATAAATCTCAGCTGCTCTGACGGCAACAGTTCACAAAATCTTACCGCGGGCTGCGTGTCTGCCAGACAAAGCTCAAAGTCCAACATCTGGCTGGGTTCAATGTTCAGCTCCTGGCATACAAGTTTCACCAAAGTAGGTGGATGCTTGGCTGCCTGGGGTCATGTAATACAAAAAGTTAACCAAAATGGATTAAAAAAAAACACTCTTGTTTGAACAATAGTATGCAACTTATGTCGCTAGGCTAGCATGTTGTATTTATATACGGTACATTGATCTCTACAGCATAGCTACTGACACGGGTGTTTGTCAGGTATCAACGTTGATGAGTTAAAACAACAGACTTATCAACAGGCAGAGGTGATTTTTTATTACTTTTTCGCATTTGACACATTGTGTCTGGAACGATAGGGACAGCTGATTTATCGTTATCCGACACTAAATTTGCCTGACTTTAGAATTCACTATCATCCTTTGTCAGTGACCATCAATCTTCTCTGCGCAGTTCTATTACGGTATTCATCAATAAATTTATCCTAGTATAAAACAAGTGTTTTGTAGGACGATGACGTTTTTGCTATCACTATCTGAGAATTCACCTGGGAAACTACACTCTCGGTGCCATCGCTACATGAGGTGGAGGCTGACAACTTATCCCCCTGGAGCTCGGCTTCCAAGCAAGTTGCCAGAATGGGGCATCTGGAAATGATAATACAAGGCGAATGTTCGTTAAGATCAAGTAGAGAAACTCTTGAAAAATCATATTCACATTGGGATGGTAGCACATATTCTACATGGCATGGTAGCACATTTCTGCATGGGATGATAGCTTATTTCTATATTGGATGTAGCCCATATACTACATGGGACAGCAGCTTATTACCTGGAATGGTAGCACATATTCCATATGGATGCTAGCACATATTCCATATTGTAATTAAATTACTTTGTGACTAACTGAATCCACCCCCCCCCCCCTCTCAATCTACCTCATAGAAACATATTTCAAACTGACCAACACATGACTTACAAGTGGGTTTCCTTGTTGGGACCAAAGCTGTCGTTGATGTCTCGTTGAAGGTGAATGGCCAAGTGAGGTATCCTGAGAATGGGACGTGGAATGTGGACCAGTTGGTGACTGATGCTGTCATCACTCTGTCATTATAAAATGATCAGTTATGATCCCCGAGTTCTTATCTCGCACTGGTGCAACTAAATGTTAGTGACCTCTGGACAAAACTAGAACTGAGCTGTGGGTTCTTCACATTATATAGGAAAATTATAAAATTTTTCTTTTAAATTGTCCAGATTTATTGCATCTTTTTTAAAACTGAAATTAAAAATTTCTTACTTAAATTTATTTTACAATCACTCAATTTTAAAATAAATAATCATGAAAAATTTATAAAATGATTTTTTTTTTTTAATTCAAATTTTGTTTAAACTTATGTTGGCAACAGTAGACGAACTGTCAGGATTACGGCTCTTTGCATAGACTGACAAGTCATTGGTTGGGATTTTTTTTTTACTAAGGGTTAACCCCCACCCAAATATTAAATACTTGGCATTCCCACCAGTCCTGGTTAGTTATCCATAACTGAGGAGGGATCTACTACTTGGTCAAGAGACGGCCAAGGAGGGGAGAAAAAATGTACATCTAAACTTATTGGAATTACAGGTATGTGATTTAAAAAAAAATAAAATGTGTGGAAAGTAAAAAAAAATCATTAAAAAAAATTAAATAAGTGAAGGGGCTGCCTAAGCAGAAACAAAAGTGTAGAGGCATACACAGTTTTACAGGAATTAAAATATAACAGTTTCCTGGAGGCTCTGATAATTCTATAGAGTTTCATAAACATTACTATGAACCTCATCTATAGCCAGCATTGCCACAACTATATACGGTACCTTATCTTTAACCAGCACTGCCACAACTATTTACCTTATCTTTAACCAGCACTGCCACAACTATTTACCTTATCTTTAACCAGCACTGCCACAACTATTTACCTTATCTTTAACCAGCACTGCCACAACTATTTACCTTATCTTTAACCAGCACTCGCCCTGCCACTGTCAAATCCCTGTCGAACCAGGTGCTCCAGATACCCCCACCGTAACATTCGACTCCAAGCTGACAGAATCCCTGCTTGACCTTGTTGGAAACAGGCTTGACCTAATTGATGAACACAAATTTTCTGTAAGAGCTGACATGTCTGTGACACTAGGTTAACTTTTATCTTATAACTTGTATCTTGAGCATGGTATTGTATATTAATCAAGATACAGCTGCTGTAAAAAACTATTTGAGTAATGCAAAGACATATCTCCATTCCCCCACCCCTACGTCAGAGGGGGACCCTCAGATTGTTGGTCTTATGTCATACTGACACTTTCATCATCCCCTCTCCACTCAGTGCCACTGTCCTTATTTGTAAATAATCTCACATCATGGCCTGTAAGATGCTATGTGAGAACATTTATCTTGCAAGAATAAATGACAGTGCCAAGTTGTCATGATGAAGTAAACAAGGTTGTTCAATCTTACTGATACCGGGTAATGAAGATTATCCCATGAATATAACTTACGACATTCTAGTCTAGCTGAGCTTTTTCGCTGTCAGTCATTTTGGGAATAAATTAGTATTTAAACTTTCTAAACTCTAAACAGACCTGAAATATGATTTACTGTCTACTAATTAATTACTAATTGTCTATTTATTGTCTACAGACACTTTAATCTACATATCACTCATTGGCTATGTTCAATATATTTTTTTGCCTTAAGATTAATATCCTAACATCATATGAGGACATCAAAACAAATAGCAGCACCACCCCCCACCACCACCCTCATATATACAAACAAACATATTAATGGTAATGAAGTACATACACATTTTTACCAGTGTGTTTCCTCCTAGTCCTTATAAACTACAAATTACCGGTACTTTTTATCTATCCTAGCCTTATGCATCAAACGCTGTAGTAGTATCAACTCTGTTGTCCTGGTGACAAACTAAGCTCAACTAAGATGCGTGCATGAGACAAAGTATAAAGACCACAGTGCTTACCCTTAGGCAAGGGCTGTCCGTGTGGGCACCAACAATGCTGAAGCCATTACCGGGTCGGTATTTGCCACCCACGGCAAAGGCGATAATGGTCGATTGGTTTTTGGTGACAAAATACTGTTGAGAATTTAAATGAAAACAATATTGACAACAGCTGACTATAGAGTTGTACCGGTATTCAATGTACCGTAAGAAAAATCTAATTTTTGAAAAAAATTATTAAGCCTTGTACTCTCTTTTACCCATACTTCATTGTTAATTATTTTATCCCCTGAACTTTCCCCTGTGAGTAGGGTAAATATTATTATTATTTTGATAGCCAGGTTACTGAGAAGTTAAGATAACAAGATTATTAGGCCTGTTTTATGATTTTCTTTCACTAATATTAATATGCTAAGGTCCCCAAAAAATATCATTAGAACTTTGTTGAGAGGCCCTATAAGCTGCCACGTTTAAACTTAAATAGAGTTATGTTCAAATTGTTTAAAGAGACAGAGTATAACCCCTCCCCCCACTACCACCACCACCATCCTCCCCCACCCAAAATAAAAATTGGACAAAACTAAAAATAAAATGCCTACTTTCTGCAATGGTGCTATCTTCCAACTGTCAGACTCTTTCAACTCTTTAAAACCGCTGGAAACCAGAGCTCTCTTCACTTCATCTACGGCTATAAAAAAGAATTTATGACTATGCAACACAAAATTATTAACAGCTTCACACGCATTTTAACAAAAGTAAGCGGTAAATGTAACTTCCAAACTGTTTTCATTAAGACATAATTGAATTCTTCTTTAACGTTAAAACCTACCATGAAATGGTGAAGGAGACTTATTGATAAACGACAAGAAATCTTTGGCCGTGGCTAAGACTTTCTCTCTAGTTACAGCCTGAACAGAAAAGAAAAAAAAAGAAAAACTTATTTATAAAAATTGAAATATAAAGTTATTAAATTTACAATTTATAGTTTATAGTGATTTGTTACTAAATTTATAGTTATAGTGATTGATGAATGATTGTAGACAAAAGCCTACTTCTAAATCTCTTGTTATTGATAACTTAAACTCTAAACTAATAACTTAAACATGATAAGGAGGGGGGGGGGGGGATCATGAATTTGTGAAAATACAATATGTGACATGGGTACCACTTCGGTATGTATATTTTGTGTAAAATAATAACTTAAACATGATAAGGAGGGGGGGGGGGGATCATGAATTTGTGAAAATACAATATGTGACAAGGGTACCACTACGGTATGTATATTTTGTGAAAAATAAGATTACTGATATTACTGATAATTATATAGTAACATTTTGAGGAGACTTAGTAAAGAATTTTAAATTAATAATATGGATTTTAATTACTTCGCAAGTCACCCAAATAGACCATGAATTGAATAGTGCCGTAAACGACAAAACATTGCTGGAGCCTGGACCTTAAATTTATGCTCTAATACTAATACAATTCATTAAAATTAAATTACAGTTAAAAATAAATGAAATTTATTTTAGATGATGCCAGTATTTATTTTAGGTTGCTTGGACTTGACAAGTTAATTCTTTAAAAAATTTATAAAATAAAATAAAACATTTTTTTTAAACATAAGACATAAAAAATATGATATTTAAATTCTAATTTATTTAATGATTTATTGTGCTAAACCTAAAATATGATTTTACTTTATCAAATTAAATGCATACCAGTATGTATTTATAAAAAAAAAGGAACAGCTTAACTTTGAAATTTTGAAAATATAATTATTTTGTATGGGTACCCCATCAATTGCCTCAGGAACTAAAAATGATTCTACTTTAATTACTAAACTTAGTCTTAAACATAAAATGTAAAGTAAGTATTAAGTTTAAGTCAGCTCATGTAGCCTAATCATTAGTCTTTTTGCTGGGCTTGGCTTATTAAATATATTTTATAAAAATTAAAAGCTCTATGCTATTATTGCCTTATTAATTAGGCCGCTGTCTGATAATAAAAAAAAAAAATGAAAGTATTTTTAACAATAATAATATTAGATAATTATGCCTACCATATTAGTTAAAATGTTTATTTTGATACTTGATGTAGCCTAAATCCAATCAATGTTATCGTTGAATCAATCAAATTAAATTTAGGCTTAATGATGATCTGAAACCACAGTGACAGTGTGTAGGTCGAGAGTTGAGGATATGTAAGGCAAGTCAAGTCAATATTTATAAGACCTGCATAAACCTGTCAGCTCTTAAAAATGTGCAACAACACTAGTGAGACTAGTTTCTTTTTTATTTCAAGGCCAAAGGTGGTCTTATGTCTTATGAGTAATGATGCTTAAATTATTGAAGTGCCATTAAGACCAACGTCACAGTCATATGATGTACAACACTGATAACACAGCCGGCTTCGTTCGTGCCACTCCACTGTCCTCAGCAGTCCACTGAATTTGAAATGTGTAATTTAGACTTGGCGTGACCCAGCGCCACCACCAGACCAACCAATTGACTTCGTCACTGTCAGCTTTGCATGGATCGATGAATGACAACAACGTTGCTACGACCAAACATAACAATAATAGTTAACTATATGTAAAATGTCAACATGATCTATTGAATCTGAATGTCGGCCTACTTTCACTTTGAAGCCGATTTCGATATTTATACTTATTTCCTTATAAAATCCGCTGCTCAAATACGAAGTAACACTGTAAACATTACGACCAATATAGCTGCTTTTCTTGAAAAAATGAGCTCCACGAATTTTAATTTTCTTGTTTCGCTTTCAAAATAATACAACAAATAAGAGGAAAAGTATTTTTAATATAAAAACCAAGAAGATAGTACAGTAGTAACAGTGATATAGCTATTAGCTAGGGTTAGTTCTGCGTAGGATGAGCCAGGCCTTTTGTCACCCCCCCCCTTATTACACGAAAAAACTTTGCTGAAAATTCCGCCCGCAATATGAGGAAAAAGTGCCGCCAGGAGGGAACCGTACCCCTTTCCTCCCACGCCATTGAGAAGTAGGCTACGTCAACTCCATGGTGGTGGCAAAGGTACCGGTACATGATTCTATTATACCTAATGGCATCAAACAAGGCTGCGTTCTAGCCCCAACACTTTTCAGCATCGCATTCCTCAACCATGCTGAGAAGTTCCTGATGTTTTTCTTGAAAATAATGACGTCATTCCAACAAGACACAGGACTGATGGAAGCAGTGCCGCCCCTTTTCATAAAAAAAAAACAAAAAAAAACTCAGCACTTGTCCGAAAAGGCCACCCCTGAATATAAAGAGAAAAGTTCTGACCGGCAACAAATTCAAGACGAAAATAAAGTTTAAAAAATTAAACTAGTGTTTATTTTTTTTCATTTTACGGTATATTGTTTTTTTTGTTTTTTTTTTTTTACTTATGTTTATTCGCTGAAGAAGGCTTCTTGCCGAAACATTCATTGTTTGGTTGCGTTCTTTTTTTTTCTTCTTCAAGTTTTACCATAATTTGTTTCGCTCATTTCTTTCGCTCTTCTTTCTAGGTTCTCTAACTTACTGATGCTAAGACTTTTTTATTCTTTTTTTTTTTACTAGCCTCCCATTACCAAATACATCCACAGATAGCCTCCCATTACCTAATACATCCACAGATAGCCTCCCATTACCTAATACATCCACAGATAGCCTCCCATTACCCAATACATCCACAGATAGCCTCCCATTACCTAATACATCCACAGATAGCCTCCCATTACCCAATACATCCACAGATAGCCTCCCATTACCCAATACATCCACAGATAGCCTCCCATTACCCAATACATCCACAGATAGCCTCCCATTACCCAATACATCCACAGATAGCCTCCCATTACCCAATACATCCACAGATAGCCTCCCATTACCCAATACATCCACAGATAGCCTCCCATTACCTAATACATCCACAGATAGCCTCCCATTACCCAATACATCCACAGATAGCCTCCCATTACCTAATACATCCACAGATAGCCTCCCATTACCCAATACATCCACAGATAGCCTCCCATTACCCAATACATCCACAGAAAGAATCTCAAGTATGAAACTTCAAACTCATTACGAACAGCATTCGCTCTCTCTCGCAGACGACTGCTTATATGCAGTGAGGATACTAGCAGCAAAGAGGAACTTACTCCATACTTCGTGCATAAATGTACGCAGACGTCATTTTGCGAGTTGCTACTGCGCGTCGTTCTTTAAGGTCTCAGCTGTTGTGGCGATTGAACTAATTAATAATATTGTTATGTTCAATAATAACGCTGACGCACTCTCTAAACTGGCAGTTGGCCGTCTGTTACAATGGCTGTATATTTATTATTGAACATATTATAGAGGTTCTCTGTGTAAGGTCATACTCTAAACTCAGCGGTTCTCAACCTCTGGGTCGCGAGAGCCATAAGGGGGGTGGGGGGGTGGGGGTCGAACGATCCTTATAAGACAACCGGAAAATATATATTTATCAAGTAGCAACGAAAATAATTTTATGGTTATTATCATCATCATTATTATTATTACAGTGGTCTTATGAAGCGCGATACCTACCCCAGCCTAGGGTTGGGCTCACCGCCCTGCACAGGGTTCGGGGGAGGGGGGAGTCACCACAAACTGAGCAACTGTATTAAAGGGTCGCGGCATAAGGAAGGTTGAGAAACCACTGCACGAGATGAACAAACATTCGTCAGCTTCGTGTTTTTTTTTTGTTCAATTTGTCCCACATGATTAGTACACATCAGCACAGGAGCACGCTCAGTGTCACTGTGGTGACTGTTGACCCCAGGCATGTTCACACACACACTGAACTTTTTTTTAAAAAGCACCACACAGGTGTGCGCTGGGCCGTACAGTCTTGGTTAGGTCACCGTCACTCACACACCCGATGGAGCATGCCTGCCCCTGGTTTGACTTGGGAACAACTCGTGACGCTAACATAATGGCCGTGGATGGGCTAGATTAAGGCATGGTCAATGTAACCCGCCCCATTCGGAATAATTCATGCATGCAGCTTTTGGATTTTATATTTCACTGTCTGTATCTGGCCGTTCTGTAAGTCACAGTAAGTAGCCATGCTCATTAATTTATATCATGATGTTGTAAAGTATTTTGTTTCATGTCGTAATGGTAGAATCCTGTGCATTGCTGACCGTGTCAAGGAGTGTTTAACATTTAGTTCCAAGCCCACGAAGGCCAAAGGTCAACACACGGCCACACACCACGTCTTTTACAGACCCACAATGTCCCCGGGCGCAAGCTAGTTAGGGGCGCCAAACTGTGCTTTAATATTATATTATTGGTAAAAATAATGGGTTTGAGAGTTGAAAAAAAGAAAAGGGGGCGCTTTAAAATTGATCTTGTCCCCGGGCGCCAAACACCCTCGCTACACCTCTGCATATATCTAAGGCTAATTTTGTGAAAGGCGTACAGCTCGTACAGTATTCGATTATTAGCTCAAATACAAAATGTAAAATCCAAAATAAAAATATTTCAAAATAGAAAACAGCTGTTTGTTTACAAAAAATAGAAACAGTCTTGTTTATATTGACATTGGGCTAACTGGAACATTAGAACAATAACTTTTTATAAATTGTTAAATTAAAACAAATAAATAATGCATTCTATTATTTTTGTAACTAATTACGAATTTTATACTGCAGGAACTTGAATAAAGCTAGTGTTAAGGCTGAGATATCATGAAAAATGTAAACACAGGTTGTATGCTATTATGATGATGCCAAGGGACAGTATCAAGTTTAACCTCATAGATGTTTCTTTCTTTCGACTAAATTCATGTGTTATTTTACTTCCAGGTGGTTGTTTTCACAGAGAGTACTTGAAGGCCCCCATCACTGCAAGACTTTACAGCTGCACTTATGATGAACTTCCTGTCATTACGGACCTGCGGTACTTGGGACGTTGATGTGCAGTTGGAAGATAGAGGCGTTGCAAGTGAATAATGTGGGTAATGGTTTCATGGTCAATGCCAAAGCATCGAATCGACACAGTCTATTACAAACAGCATAGTGAAAATTCTGGCATGCCGTGGCACTGTGCTGTCTGCGGAAGCCCGAATAGTCAGACCATGTTTGACTTCCATAGTGCAAGGACAGAATCTACCTTCCCAGATTTCTCCCTAAATCCCTCATGCTGCAATCCAACGGACCTTCAAAGTTTTCAGCCACCACACTGCTCTACTCCTATGCGCTGCAGTCAGCAGGACAAATGGAAACACAGACCAATGCGCATATTGAATGTGAACTTTCAGCCTGCAAGCGGAAAAAGAGTCGATATAGCCAACTTGATCAACACTTAAAACCTGACATCATACTGAGCACTGAAACATGTCTGGATCCCTCCATGGCCAACGCAGAGGTTGTACCGGATTATTACAAATTATTCCGGCGAGATAGACAGTACAGAGGAGGAGGAGCATGACAGCCTGGACTGGCACGCTGTTTCAGAACTAGATGTTGATGACTGCGAACTTCTGTGGGTGAAGGTGAAGCTGAAGAGTAGACGCACACTTTACGTTTTTGCCTATTACAGACCCAACATAGCAGATGAACCAAGCCTATGTGTCACTTAGAGAGCAATTCAGTCAAAGAACGCTTTTCTCCTTATAGGGGGAGATTTCAACTTTCCTGGTTGGAACTGGCATATTCCTGCCTTGAAGCCCAATTCCCCATACCCTGTCCTACACTCCGACCTTATGGAGATAATTAACAACCATGGTCTGGAACAGATGGTTAAAGAATCCACGCGAAGGGAAAACACTCTCGACCTACTCCTCACCAACAGTCCACATCTCATCCCATGAGTTGAGGTCATCCCCGGGATATAGACCACTGCATACCATATTGCGATTTTCAGGTCAGCGCACTAAAAATGAAGCAGGTGGTCCAAGAAATCCCCATTGATGGCAAGGCAGACTGGGATAGCCTGACAAATGCAACGACAGAGCTGAGCTCTAACATGCATGAGATTCAGGATAATACTACAACAGTAGAGCTGTGGATGAAGTTCAAGACAACAATCACTGATTAAGTGAAGAAATACATACCACACAAGACCACCAGACCTACAAACAAATCAGCCATGGGTCACGGCTGAAATCCGTAGGCTTATACATAAGAGAGACCGCCAATACAAACGAATGAAGAAGAATGGCTCGGTCGAAGTGAAAGCCGAAGTACTGAGGCTTCGAAGAACCATCCAACGCTTACACTTACTGCGCAGATCTTACTGGAACTACCTGAACGGCATCTTCTCAGAGGAAGATACTCCGGCCAAGAGTGTCAAGAACAAGCGGTTCTGGGGCTACGTCAAGCCCCAAACGTCATCAAACCCCGGGGTTTGCCCCCTGAGATGGGACGGCCATTTGACGTCTGAACCAAAAGCACAAGTGGACAGACTCAACAGTTTCAGTCGGTCTTTGGTGATGGTAGAGAGTACTCAAAGGTTGAGTTCCTTCTGAAGACCAACATGATGAGCACAGCCTTTGTCATTCCGTTTTTAGAATACGCATCTTCAGCCTGGGAACCATTTACCCAGAAGAGCATCCATAGGTTGAAGGCGGTCCAGCGACTGGCAACACGCTTTTTCCTGAACCGCTACAGAAACACATCAAGTGTTGGCAGCATGCTGGAAACACTGGTCTGGTCACCAATGGAAGAAAGAAGACGACTATCCAGGCTCTCCATGTTGC